CTGTCACTAACCAGCTATATGATCTGAGGACCACCCAGTTTCCTCATCTGTAAAATGGACTGGATGGATTAAGACTGGATGACCCTTCACAGCAACTTCTAGTTCTAGAATTCTATGATTTCCATGAAACAGGATCTTCATTGCCCATGTTCGGGTCTAAGAATCATAACTGTTCTACCAAAGAATCCACTGTTGCTAACATTAGTTGGTCTGTGCTAATTGATCAGTGGCCAAAAACCACTATCCACTGCCCCATAAAGTCCATGGAAGCTAATGAAGGAAGCAGCAGAATATGGTACTCTGTAGCCGATAGCCATGAGCGAGGCCATCACCCTATAGATCCCTAGGGTTTAAAACTGATACCAGTTTTAAGTGTGATTGATTGAATTTGTGCTTTGTATCCATAGTATATAGCACAGCGTCTAACACGTAGTGGTAACATAATAAATACGTGTTGATTCATTGGTCTTATACTATGGGTATGGGGTGGGGTGGGATGTGACTGGCCCTCTAGGTCCTCAAGTATGGTTCTTCGACTGAATCCAAACTTCACAGAACCCTCTTAATAAAAGGATTTGTTCTGTAGAACTTGGACTCTGTCAAAACGCTGCACCCAAGGACTTAGAAGGCCACATATGGCCTCGAGGCCGCAGGTTCCCCAGCCCTGATCCACAGACTCATTGATCTAGAAGGGATGTCCCAGACCATCTAACCCAACCTCCTTATTTTACAGGCCCAGGAAGGTTAACTATCATACAAGTAATAAGCATCAAATGCAGGATTTGAACCCAGATGCTTTAACATCAGTGCTAATGCTCAACTGTACGAGACTGCCTGCCCAATTTGACCCCTTCTGTTTCTCCTAGAAACAAATTTTTGAAGCCTGAAAATTCATTCACTGCTTCTTGCCAACACTTCCTTAAAACCTTGTGGTGAATTTCTGGATTTGATCCTATCCCTTATCTCGCATTTTCTCAAACTCATTGATCTGTTCACCTGATTCCTTGTAGTTGCTTGTTGTACAGTGTTCTTGGCCTCCATTTGTATTTGAGAGAAATGATTATTAAATAACTAATTATTGGGGAGATACAGGATATATCTCTTTCTAAAACCTTATTCTTAACTAAGCCAAGCCAGAATCTGAAAGACATTGCTGATAATGAGATTGATTAATTTTCTCCCCAGTCTTGCTTAGACCCCACCCAGGAGGGGAAGCTCAAGATGTTATATTCAGGTTTGGGTGGGGATAAATTCTTTGATTACATTGCCCTATGGTGGGGATCGAGTGAAAGTAAATGACCTAATCAAAATCTTATACCCCAGCCCCTCATTAGAATAGGTCCAACTCTCATTCTCTCTCATTACTTGTTAACCAATCAGGGAGAATTGCTACCCTCAGGAACACTCACTCTTCCAAGGACACATATTCTTTGAGTGGGTTCCATGAAGGGGTTTTTGGCATTAGAGTGTCACTGAGCCCTTTTATTTATTATTGCTAGCATGATTAATAAAGCGATCAATTGCCCAGAAGTTATGTCTCCTGGACTTCAACATCACACACTGAAAATTTTTTAGTAAAATAAGCATAGTCCCTGGCACATACGTGCTATGTAAATGTTAGCTATTCGTCCTCTCACAAGAGACACGCCAGAAAGAAGACAAACCTCTTGTGTTTATGTCAGAGTGGCAAATAGCCACCTCTGTCCACCCTCAGAAGAGATTCATAACCACTACTCAGGCTCTAACCACTTAACATCTAATTACCTACTGCTTTGGTCCTCTACTGCCCTTCAGATTGAAGTACAGACACCTTTCTGGTCTTTTGCCTGTCTGTTGAGACTGACAATGTGGGATTTCAAAAGTCATCTATTCTGTACCTAACTGGCTTTAGTTTTAAGGTTTGTTTTTTTTTAACAATTGATTTTTATGGATGAGATTGCCATTTAAATTATATTTGGAAAGTCAATAAGGCAGTTAGCTAAGGCTATAACTAAAGAGCTAATTATATGCTATCCAGTAACTTATAAAAATTTCCCATTGCTTTTCCCTTCCTATTATCTGAGAGGGAGATTTCAGTTAGCACTACATAACTAATCTATCCAATATTCTACCTTCACCATGCTCTGGCCAAGGGCAAGCCCAGTGTTCTAGTATAGTACCAAACATAATCTGAATGATGTTGACTTTCACCCAGTATTATTATTGCCTTTGTTCATGGCATCAGTCAACACCCGTTATCTTTGGTTATAGGATAAATAGATGTATCAGTTACAGGCAAACCTGAAGCAGTTAATCACTAACTTCTTTGCTGATTTTGAAGTTTAAATGTACATAGTCATATGCCATCATGATAGTTACGGAAATAAAGAGGACATACCCACAAGAGATGCTGGGCAATACAGGTGAGAGAAATAACAAGATTTGGCAGTGGTTCGGCTGTGTGAGGTGAGTTTGAGATAGAATATACAGTTCAAAATACCCACTAGGTCAGGTCTATTAACAGAGGTGGTATTTTTCTTGCTTTTTCAATGTGGGAGTGGGGCAAGACAGGTAGGTGCCAGGGAAAGAAGGCAGCTCTTCATTTGGAAAAAAAAAATTTAATTTGATTTTTTTAAATGTCCAAAAGGCAGTTGGTGACACAGTATTGGAGCTCAAGAGAGAGACTGAGACTGAACAAATAGATATAGGATTCATGTACATTGAACCCATGGAAGCTTATGAATTCATCAAGGGAAAGAGTATAGAGAGAAGGGAGGCACAGGACAGAGCCTTAGGAGCATATCCACAACTAGAGGATATGATAAGGATGATTCAGCAAAAGAAACCAAGAAAAAATGGTCAGTCATGGAGAAAGAGAACCAGGAGAAAGCAGTGTCACCTAAGCCTGGAGCCTCTCCAGGAAGAGAAGTTGGGCAGCAGTGTCAGGAAGGCTGGGGATGGACAAGAGGCCGTTAGTTTCTTCCAGTGACCCAGCTCATGCTTCTGACACAGGAAAAAAAATCTGATCAGAATATAGGCTTTCAGTTTTTAATGCCATGTTTTGAAAGTTGAAACTTTTTAACTTTTATCATCCAGATTACATTCACCATGTTTCCATTTAGAAATTGAAATTTTAAAGAGAAGCAACTAATCAGACTCAATGCATCATCTTTGAAAATTTTTAGTTTAATATTAGCTTAAGAAAACACTGGCTTCTTTTCCCATTAAAAATAAAGTAATTAAAGTATCCTGTCACTTACAAATCAAATGAAAGAGGTCAAAACCATGGTCTGCACTTTGCAGATCAGAAAAAGCATCTGATTGTTATGCTCTGAGTATAATAGCAGTCAGTGGCAAAGCCTGAAATAGAAATCCAAACAATTTATGCTTCTTTTCTGATTCTAAACAGAGCTCAGTGTTAGTGGCCTGTTAAAATTATGCCTCAAGAAAAATTGATTGACTCACTCATCCAATTATAAGTTACTGGATAGCATATAATTAGCTCTTAAGTTATAGCCTTAGCTAACTGCCTTATTGACTTTCCAAATATAATTTAAATGGCAATCTCATCCATAAAAATCAATTGTTAAAAAAAAACAAACCTTAAAACTAAAGCCAGTTAGGTACAGAATAGATGACTTTTGAAATCCCACATTGTCAGTCTCAACAGACAGGCAAAAGACCAGAAAGGTGTCTGTACTTCAATCTGAAGGGCAGCAGAGGACCAAAGCAGTAGGTAATTAGATATTAAGTGGTTAGAGCCTGAGTAGTGGTTATGAATCTCTTCTGAGGGTGGACAGAGGTGGCTATTTGCCACTCTGACATAAACACAAGAGGTTTGTCTTCTTTCTGGCATGTCTCTTGTGAGAGGACGAATAGCTAACATTTACATAGCACCTATGTGCCAGGGACTATGCTTATTTTACTAATATCTCATTTGATCCTCAACTCTGGAAGCTGGTAGTACTATCCCTATTTTACAGGAAATGAGAGGCAGAGGTTTAGTGACTGTCTAGTGTCAACACAGCTAATAAGTATCTGAGCTTGTGTTGAAACTCAGGTCTTCTTGACAAGCCCAGCACACCACCCATTGTGCCACCTAGATGCTACTGTTAACATTTATGGCTAAAAAAGACATTTCTGTGAGGTCAATATTAGTAAGCAAAAATAGCTGTTATTTTCACATAAAACTACTGCATTTTAAGGGGGAACTGACCTTAACTCCAATAGGAATGCCAGAATCAGAATTGCAATTCTCCATATGGAATGGGCTATTTCTGCATACGTTCCCTTAACATTAGGCATCTCTCCTCAGAGAATCTCATTTGTGCAAGGTGTTGTAAAGGGGACTGCTGCTCAGTCATGGTGGGATTAGATGACTTCTCAGGTCTCTTCAAATTGTACAAATGCCACAAGGCCTGATGTATTAAACACTAAAATCAAAGTCCTATTGGTATTCCAGGTCTACTCCAAACATTTAAACTACGATGAATTTCTTACTTGAGCTTATACCATAGTTCTTACTTCCAAGGGCGTCAATCATTGCAAATGTTTGATTCAGTTCAATTACCACATCTCCAATTCAATTCTGGGTTACTCAGGGGATCCTTGCAACGTACTTTCCGTTAAAAAAAAAACTGAGAACTCCACACTCCCAGCTTCTAAACCAATCCCTTCTATACTTAACCTGAAGCTAGTGTCTTCCTTTGTGCACACTGAACCTGGAGTCAAGATGTGGAATTATATCCAACCTGACACTTCTTAGTAGTGACCCCAGCTAAGGCATTTAATACTTACAATAGGTCTTTTAGTTACTATATAGAACTTTCCAAAAACTGTCTTCTCATACCCTACACTTCCTTTTGCAAGAGATCAGAATGCAGCCATAAGGGAATGAGTTTAGTGCCTAAGCACCTCTTTCACACACCCTTAACTGTTTGGTTAAAAAAAGCAGTATTTACTAGTATAAACCACTTTGGGGGAGAATGTGTTAATTACCAAATATCACTAAAGAACTTGAGTCTCTTATAGAAGTTTTATTGTTATTTCATTACAATTAAACAGTTTCCATGCTCTCTCCTTCCCAAAAGGTGAATTTGAGAGTGTGCAACAGGCATTTCTTAGCTACAAAATATCACTAGCAATAGGTATCAGTCTTAAGAAAATATGAAAAAAAATTCATGTAATTATGACAAGGTGCAAAACTTAATGTAAATTAGTTCCTAAACATATAAACTCTACAATGTTTCCATAAGCTAAATGGATATTTAACAGGTTTAGAATATGACAAACATGTTAGTACTAAGTAAAAAGCCCCTAACTGAATAATGGTTGCACCTAAAACCAGTTAAGGAAAGTCCGTGGGGAAAAAAAAATTCTTACTAGATTTGTGCCATTTATCCTGCGACAGCTTAGTAGTGAATGGACACTACTTTGTGTAAAATAGTAAAGGCTTAGGGATAGATTGCCATACTCATCCCTCAAATGATCGGAATACTTCTAGTACTGTTTTACAGTATTTTTCCAACAATTTTAAGTATAACCGGTAAGCATTTCAAGCCTCTAATTATTCTAATATAATTTTCCTTTACTTAACGATATGGTCTTCCTTAAGATAAAGGATGGCCCAGTGCCTTGTACACAGTAAACACTTTAAAAATGAATCATTCACTCACAATAAATTATACAATATCTAGTTATCGAAAAATTTGGACTCACTTGCTATTACCTTTTCATGCCAACTTAAATTTAAATTCGTAAGTGTGTAAGCTCAAATTTTTATATTACATTTAATAGGTTTGACACATCAAAAAGCACAAACCTCAAGTGAAGGCACCATGAATAGAAGTCATGAAAAGGACTAGTCAAGACTATTCAATATACACAATATATCATGTAGACATTATGGGGAATTATAATCTGTTAGTTCTTAGAAAGGCTATGAACATAACATACATAGACATGCATACAACTATAATTGCAGAGATTTGTTTGCAAAGGTTATTTGTTATATACTAAGGATAAATTGTGCCTGGGTAAGAAAATGGGTAGTTTGTTCAGGACGCATAGTTATGTCTAAAGAGTAGTGACATGGGTCTGACAGAAATAAGAGGAACAGCACTATTTAAAACAATAGGTAGTTTTGTTAACAACAGCTGAGAGGGAACAACATTTACTTTTACCCGGTCTTTGCGAAAAGAACATAAAGTTATAATGGAAAAATGAAGGTTACAAAAAGGCTGCTAAAGTACAGATGTTTTATGGTTTCAATGAAGGCAATTAACTAGATGTAAGAGGGTAAGGAAGAGGTCAGAAGCCTAAGGAGACCAAGAGGTTAGTAGTGGAATAATCGTCTAGAAAACTTCATTGTTAGTGTTTCAATCCTTGAACAAAATCAATCTGTACTGTCTCAAATTAAAAAAACAAAGCAGTAACATAAGCATAACATAGCATTGCACCTTATGTCAGGAAGGAAAAATGTGATTGGACTAAGATCTAGCAGTGACATATATCTAGCAATGATAAATATGTAGATATTAACAATTAACTAATGACAATTTTAAATAGCAGTTTGTGATTTGTTACTTTTATATACTTTATACAATAACCTTGCTAACCAAAACAAGGTCAAGCTAAAATACAATAACAAACAATTATTAGTTCCTACCATTTTGGATTGTAGGCTTTATTGTTGTTATCTCTCCCAGACTGTAATTTTTAAAAGTCATGCCTTCCTCATAAACCTCATTTACTTTGCTGTCTTCCAATTTGTGAGTTGTGAATTTCAATCCCTAGTAGACCAACTGTAATTCTACAACACTCCCCAGATATTCTGATGATCTATTAGTGAAGCTCAAGGGAAGCCATTAACTGATGTCATTGGTGTAATGAAAAAGTCATGAATCATTAACATTTCAGCATTAAGTATTTACCTGAAGACTAAAACTAACAGATGGTAAATTCCTTGATAATTTCTAGTGTTCCGTGCTCAGCTACTATATAATTCTGATTGCAAGTCCTACGGCCTCTTCATCTGAAATATTTCCAACATCTTAGAACAGTAATCCATAACATTAAGAAACTGATTATTATTCTTCCTCTCCATTCCCTTTCAAAACTACTGGTTGATCCAAAAGAGTAAATTTGACATGGAACAATTATGAAAACGTCAATTTCTATGGTCAATAGTGATTTTATGAGAAACAGGTTTTCTGCTTGACTGATACTAATATACTAATTCATTCAACCAAATTTTTAAATTAAAAGGAACTAATGGAAGACAATTTATTGATATAACTTAATGAATTAGTCTTAGACTCTTACAATCTACCAAATCTTAGCTATATGTCAACTATATGGCATTAATTACTAACTACTCTATTAAAGCTGTCTTGAAGTCACTGTGGCTTCATCAACATTTATAGCAGCATTGTCACTTAGCATTTTTTTTTTTTTAGCTTTGAAGAATTTAGGCCTTATGCCAACCATGAGAGAGTTCAAAGTATTAGTTGCCTATCAATCCTGAATTAATCTTTCCACTAAACAAATTTCATTTCCCAGAAGAAAAGCATCAGAAGAGATTTTGGATTCAAGTAACTTAGGGAACTTTCAGTAGCTAAGCCTGAAATTCACATAATCAGGGGTCTACTAGTTAATTTCAAACTAAAATTGCAATCATTTTTTTTTTTTGCCAAAGCCCTTTCCTACCTTTTTCCAACAGCTTTTTCATGGTATCCTACTCTTGCTGGTTTGCTTCAATCACTGTCCTGTCATAAGGTGAGCTTTCATTCCTTCTCTGCCAACAGCATTTTCTTCAGATATGTATAGACCTGGTGAATCTGCTCTCCTACTACTCTTATGTTTAAAGATGTCCTGGTTCACCCTTAAGCTACCAGGTACCCACCTTTCAGACCTATGGGCTAAATCTTAGCAATGAGGCAAAACCATCCCATGCAAAAGAAAAAATTTTTTAAAAATCTAGTTCTTCCACTATGATAAACTAGGAGGTGCCAACTCCATGATATCATCACTGCTTTCATGTTTCATTTATACCTTCTTCACATTTCATACCAGTAAAACCTAATGACAATGTTTGGAGATGGTCAAGCTTATTTTAGCTTAAGTTTCTATTAAGCAATGAAATTTAACGGAGTAAGGCAAAAACCTCTGAAAGTTAAATTAATCCTACAAATTCCAATGGAAAATTGTTGCACTCCTCTACTTCAGTTCTCCCTCACTACCATCATCCACTGAAACTGTACAAGGCACAATTTCCCCAGAAACTTTTCTCATATTCAAGTTCTCCTTCAAAATAAGTCTAACCGTCTCTTTATCTAAAGATAACTTTTCAGCCATCATTCTTACAGTTAATCGGCTATTAGAACGAACCAAATCTCTAACCTTCTCAACATTTTCATTGGTCCTGTGGGTGATTGGTCGACCACTCCGTGCATCATCATGGACATCATCCCTACCTTCCTTAAATCTTTTGTGCCAGTCAAAAACTCTTGCTCTTGACATTACTTCATCCCCATAAGCTTCTTTTAACATTTCAAGTGTCTCACTGGCAGATTTGTTTAGCTTTACACAGAGTTTGATATGAATTCTTTGTTCTAAGTAACGGTCACTCATTTTTACACCATTAGGAAGCATGCTTGTCTATACTCTATAACTACAATACTGATTCAGGGACCATGAAAAGATTTTTTCTGCAAAGTAAAGCATGTTCCACTAGGGCCACTTCTCTGCTTCCACAAGTCAGACAATAAAAACTAGTCTCATGTAATGGTCACACCTTGTGAATTATACAGCAGTGGATTAAAGATTTTTGGAGGTGTCTCAGAATCAGATCATCCCAGCTTGTATTTTTCCTACCTACAAAAAAAAAGGGGGGGGAAAGGTATTCAGTACTGATGATGCGAGGCAAGTTCTGCAATATTAACATTCTCTATTTTTAGCTCATATTCAATTGCTTAGCTTCCATAAAAGGAGTAATATATTTCCCAATGCTAGAACTTGTCACTGGTGATTAGAAAATGTATCTATATTTAACAATCTATCAGATTTTTCCTCATCCACTGAAAATACTTCATTTAACTAGAGTGCTTTGCAGTAACAGAATTAAACTACGTAACTAAAGCTTTGGACAACTCTAACCTTAATTTGGTCTTTTAGAGTGAGAAATTACTCCAAGGACTTACTTACAAAGGTCAGCAAAATTAAGAATCCACAAAGAAAGCCCTAAACTCACCAAGGTTCATTGTAACTCCAGACAGGATCCAAAGAAGAGGTTTAAATCTCAGCTTTGGGTTTAATGGAGAATTATTATACCCTTCTTTCTAGGTTAGCCTCTTAAAGCATTATCAGTCTTAAGAGGCCACATAAAAGGGTTATTTTTAGTATTTACTATACCTTCTGTCACATTTTACTATTATTTCCTAATTTTCAATGGGAATGTAACCTAATTGCTAGCAATTCTGATTTATTGGGGGGGGGCATTTTATGTTTATACAAATTCCTGAAAACACTGTTTCAGAGCAAGGGAACATTCGTGTATCCCTATAGTGGTAACACAGGATACTCCTTTAAGGGAGGTTAATATTAGGGATACAAATCTTACTACCTGATACTGCAAAATCACATAGTAACTTTCAGTTTTCCAAGGCCTTCGAAGCCCTCAGCCTCAGGAACTCTCAGTGCCTGCCTGTTTCTATGGCAAATGCGTTTTAACAGTTCACATCTTCCAAGCAGCGACACTGTAGCCAGGGTGGCCCTTCCACGAAGCACCTAGAAAGACAAATTCAAGTGCTCCAAGTTAAAGCAGGACAAGGTAACAGAAGAGAGGCTGAGCCCTGGAGGGGCTGCTGGCCGTAACTTTGTAGCTGGGACTGTCTCTCACGACAGGATCCGGAACAGAGGCTGGATTGTCTGTCCCGGGTTTAAGAGAGAAGAGTGCTCTACCCCTCTGTTCTG